AACATAAGTTTCACTACCCATTGGTCATCTTCCAGTTTGGGGTATTTTTTGGCCCTTTTCTTTCAGAAAGATCCTGATTTCATCAAAGCATTCCACAAACCATTCTAAAACCTTCCCGCAACTTAACCACCTAACACTGGAGTAAAGGGGTATGTCTCCATATGCACTATTCATCTCATCAAAAAAAGATTGGAATTGTCTGTGTAAGAGCAGATCGTGCAACCAAAAAATTCAGTTTTTGTCACGGTGGGCCAGTGGCCATCACTTTATTGAGATGAGAGTTTGAAATTCTGGCGCACAGATTTTCTTGATGAATAATGCAGTGTAACTTCAGGATGGGGTGCCCGATTTTATCCTCAATTAGCTTGGCAAATCCTGTGTGTTTTCCTACCATAGCAGGAATGCCATCCGTTGTAACTGCAAAAATTTTTTTTTTAATATCAACCCCTCTCTCCTTAAAATGATCAATGGACATTTTAACAATGTCATCTCCCTTGGTAGTACCATGCATAGGTCTTAGGCACCACAGCTCCTCGTGTACCTTCGTGTCACTGTACCTTGCGACAATAACCAAAAGTGGTATTGTATATCATTTATATCACACTCTCATCAACAGTAATACTGAACACAGTTGCATTTGTTAATGCATCAGTTTGCTGTTCTCTTATACAGTGGTCCCTCGGTTAACGAACTCAATCCGTTCCAGCAGGTTGTTCGTTAACCGAAACCATTGTTTCAATGGGTTTTTGGGTAATTGGTTCCAGCTCACCGAAAATTGCCTAAATTCAACAAAAATGGTAGAAAAGTTCACTTACTTTGAGGTGTGTATGTAGAAGGCTCCTGGATGATGATGATGGGAATTAGAATGGGGGTGGAGGAGAAGGAAGAAGAGAAGGCATTGGGGTGGAAGAAGTCACCCATGGCACCATTTCACCCATAAAATTTTAGTTCTCTTGGTGTATTTCAAGATTATTTTCTTTAAATCAACACTGCACTGCATTATATATTGTCAATATGTAAAATATATTTCAAAATGACCAATAATTTGCTTGGAAACACAGAAAAAAAGCATTTAGTTGAAGAGAGTCTCAAGCAAGATGTTACCTCCAGTGAAAACACAGAGAGACTAACGCCTGTTTGCTGTGTTAAGAGGCTGGATGCAGCGCATTAAACTAGTCACTTTACCTTCAATTATGTTCAATAATTGTTAAAATGATTAAAAAATTGAATATTAAACTTTTAAAATTATTGAATAGCATAAACTTCTTGATATTTACTAAAATAGTAAGGAATTTAAGCCCTAGAACCGATTAATGTATTGGCGGACTGATACTAAAGCTGGTTGCCCGGTCAGTGCAAGCGAAAACATGTTGAGGTCGGTTCGTAAGAAATTCGTTAACCGAATTTTTGTTCGTTAACTGAATTGAAGATTCTTATGGAAGGCAGTTCGTCAACCGAAATTTCGTTAACCGAGGCGTTCGTTAACCAAGGGATCACTGTATTTGCAGCCATGTCTGATATGCGCCTCTCTACAGTCCTGGCTGCAGCAGGCATTTCTTTTATCCTTGAGATGATTGTGTGTTTGTTTGGTAAATCATTAAATAAAACTTGAGAGCTGTTGAGAAAGGCCTCCTTTATGTAATCCCCATCAATAAATGGTTTTCCATGTTTAGCAATACAGGTACACTGAGAAACTGTGTAGCTGGCCTCAGTTGCATGAACTTTGTGTATACTCAAATTTCTCATAACGTTGCTTTGTTTTTCATAGCTGGATACTGCCTTCTTAATTGCTTCAGCCTTGTCTGCATTGTCCTCAGATGTCTTCTCATGCTTCGTTTCATAACATCTCTTTACACTTGAAGTCCGACAAACAACATTCTCGCAACACAGAGCACACACAGCTTGACCATTCTTTAGAGTAAATCCAAAGTCTTTTGTCCAAGAGGGTTGAAACGATCGAACATCTAATTTGGCTTTCTTGGCAGCTGCCATTGTGGCTACTTAATTATGAGTAACTTCTGTCACCGCAGCTGAAAGTACACTGACCGTGCCTGACGGTCTGAATAACCAGTTACCAACTAGAAATAAAAATTCCTGCTAATAGAAAATCCAGTAGATTGAATACTACTGTAATAGAAAGATTATAGTGTAATTTTAATAGAAGTGATGTAAATACATATTCAAAATAATAAAGCATATAATTATACTCCAATTTCTTAGATATAGAAAATATCCGAGAAAAAGAACACAAGGCGAGCTACCTATTTTGTGTAGCCAAAATGGCAACACTGGATCTGACGCGACACAGGCTATAGCTGAGTGGATACAGGACGAGTGGGTTCTAGCTTGAGCTCATGTCACTTGCAACCACACATCTTGGCTCTTCCTTTTCCTGATCCAGTGGTGCATGTGTTGCAACGACTGGGGAGGGAGAGTTGCAATGGTCTGCCAATAGCCCAGTTTGTTGGGTTTCGCCTTAGTAGCCTGTCCATCATGCATTGCCTTTGTCTGCCGGTGTAATCGTTGGGTTCCCACGGTGGTCACCTCTTCCGCCTATACCGCCGTCGGGGTCTTGTTGGAGCTCTGTAAGCATGTCTGCCTGATGCGGGGCTCCATCGCAGATTTTTCAGTCAGGGTTTACTCCCGTAGCCTTATACCTACCAAGGTTAATCCGCAAGGCAGCAGGGAATGGTTGGTAGGCGCCAGGACGTGTCCACATGCCAGTGGGCCTATGTCCCGTCCCTCTGGGGCCCACTGCTACTCCGAGATCCCCTGCTGGTCTAGCCTGGGCCCACGAGGCACTCAGTTACCGTGTGTTGCCACGAGGAGGCACAGCAGGAGTCTTGATGGTGAAGAGGCTGTGTACTGGCAGGGGAAGACTTACGCAAGTTGCTTCCCTGTTCGCCACGACGGCTAGCCAGAGGTGGTAGCTGAAAGCGAGAGGGAGCAAGCAGTGCTTACACCTTCACACTAACATAATGCTGCCACACTAGATGCATTTCACCACCCTGTGCGCAAACACACCCAACCGCACATGCATGCACGCATGCACACACACACACACACAAAATAATAATAATACAGTAATGGGAAAATCCTCTCACAAATAATCAGAAACAAGACAACAAAATGTATTGAAATGTAGAAAAAAAGCGAGTCTACCCTCAGGTCAACTCCATGCTTTGTTATTAACCCTCTTAGCCTCGCGACGCTAACGTGGCATCCAATGGGCTATATTTTCAAATAACTCAAAACTATTCAGTTAAACTGACTGAACTTTGGATGCCATTTGACAGATGTCGTTTTCTTTGTGTGGGCCTCTTTTCACATTCCCCGAGAAGGTCTTGCTCACCGTGTAAAGTGGCGTGTGGTGTCTCTCTGGCCATTAGAAGGAGAGGACGGTGCACCGCTCGGCCCTTTAATTATTCCATGAGTTTTTGTATTATATTATTTTTCCCTATACCACGATATTCTCCAGGCTTTGTTCTTTATTTTGGTATATAGTACATATCAATGAACACCATAATACAAGGAAAATGTGAATGGAAATCTTGATGTTACTTAACATTTTCCTACTTTTTCAAGCTAAACTCGAAAAAAGTGGCTTAAATTTCAAGAATTTTCAATTTGTTATGGTTTCATACAATTTTTCAGACAATTTTATGCTAGAAGAGATCCCATTACAATTAATAAAACAATTCCATGGCTGTGAAATGAGCCCTGAAAAAACTAATATTTTTCCAAGATTTTTTGGCAAAAACCTCCGAGGCTCAACGTAAGTTTTCATGCACGTTTGTGTCTCAGGCTCCGAGGTTGCGAGGGTTAAAGTTGGGTTGGCTGGGTTGCCATATGGCAATTTTTTCCTCGTAAAAATTACTGTCTCTAGAACAAATGGCATCTGAGCTCCAGTTGGGTCGATATGTAGATCAAACCTACAGAATTTCTTTTGTAGCCATCTAGCCAACCCAACATGAAGGTGTGTGCATGTAACCGAGTAAAAATAAATTAGGAAGTTACGTATATCTACCTGAAAATCTGAGTTGAAAAACAGCCATAACACTTCACAGCTTGGCCCAGTAGCCTGGTGGTTACAAAGATGAGCTAACCTAGCTACAACGCCATGATTAATCACTATGAAACATTATTCTATTAAAATCACTAATAATAACAGTAAATCCAGTGTAATACGGCAGGGAGCGAGGAGAGTTACAATTGCAAACAATGAGCTAACTAGCAGTCACTCACTCCCCTTCTCCGCTCCCGTTGCCAGGCATACGTATGGGAGACATCCATGACCTTTTCTCTCTTCACTTGTTTGGGCACCTTCCTGTGGCTGGATGAAGGTGATTGAGGGCATTTGGAAGCCATTACAAGCACAAGGAGGACAGTTGTTAAGAGAACAGAGTAGCACACGCTCAAAACGGACACGTGTTTGACCTCGACTTTATTCCACAGATGTTAAAATCCTAAGCAAAAAAAAGAGGCATACGAAAATCCTGAGGGTGTTAAGTCTAGGCTTAAAATTACAGTGGGTTTGGTATTCTTAGGTAACTTGAGTCAGAAATCCCCCCTCCTCTGGAATTTTCCACCTTGCAATATAGATAATACAGAACCCACAATAAGTCTGGGTCAGAGGAAGTTTACTGTATAAAGTTTACTCCTTGAACAGGGATTCTATGTTAATACAGACTCCTCTTGACATGCAATTCGGGATGTTTCACTGCAGTTTCAATACTATGGTGAAGCATCAGAACGTAAAATTCAACCATGATTTCCAAAAGAAAATTTCTTACTGTATATTATGTTAAACACCAAGTCTCTGACACTGAAACATATTAGTAAATAATAATTGAAGTGTATTCTAATAATCTATTTGTTGTTCTAATACTGAAGTAAAGGTGTGTGTAAACAACAATGAAATAATTGACTGCAGCCTCACTTAAATAACATGAAGGTCTTTTTAAAGTATATAAATTGTAAATACCTAAGTGATAACTCACCTGAAGAACATTTATAGAGAAATTGATGCCTAGTTCAATATTCTTTGCCTTAAGGAAATCGTTGAATTTGTGGTTTAGATCAGAGCTGACAGACATGTCAGTGAACATACGATGGAGTTTACTGGTGTATTCATACCCACACGCTTGCTGTTATGGGAAGAAAAAATATACATATGAATAAAATCTTGGGAAAAACATATTAGGACACAGAAAAAGTCATAATCCTTACATATAAAAGAAGTTCAAACACCATTTTTCCGGATGCTTGAGAGTTACTTTTATAAATATGCATCTCAAACTCAAGAACATCGTCAGAGTAAATGTTACAGGGGTATATAAAAGGAATAGAAGGTAGTAAGTAAATTATAAAAGGAATAAAAGGTAGTAAGTAAATTATAAAAGGAATAAAAGGTAGTAAGTAAATTATAAAAGGAATAAAAGGACAGTAACTGTACTATACTGTACAAGGAATAAAACAGCATGCTGGATGGATGAGGCGGTGATAGCGGTTACACCAGAACACTCATTCAAGTAAGTGGAACTGCAACTGCAGCACCCAGGGTGTTTGGCCAACATGAAAGCAGAGCCGTAGATAGAGAGAGTTCGGCCAACTGGACACCATGTTGTTATTCAGCGGGTGGGAAGTCTTCTCAGGCTCTCTCCCACACAGTTTATAAACATGTGTATCCAACTGTAAACATGTATGACAATTTTACTGAATAAACATCATCACCATCATTCACTACATTACGAGTGCAAACTTCTTCATCAGTTCATTAACAACATGGCGCCCGCATGTCACTGAGTTGACCAAACTCTCTCTATATGAACGGCTCTGCATGGAAGACACACACAGTGCTCTAGTGGCCAGAAATAGAACCACAGGCAAAGGGGCACCAAATTCAAAACAATTTTCTTGATTTTTTAAATGCGATTAGACATTACTTACTGGAAAATGACTGCCGGTTGCTTTGGAGTTCCAGATGATTATTTGCTGGATATATGAGGTTATACTGTACTGTAATAACTCCATCTATATAATGTAATGAGTGAGACATAGACCGAGAACATGCATTAGGCAGTAATTAGTTTCAGATGACACTGTTGACAATAAAGGTTCACCTTAAGCCTATTGATCATGGCTTCCTCCGAGTCCATAGACTGACTCTGCTGTTGAATGAGACGCTTTGCCAGCATCCGTGCGTAGAACTTTTGATATACATCCTTATCATCGATGTATTTGAATATGGTGATGCTATGGCCCAGCTTATCATCTACTTCACTTTCATTGAGGCCTTTGGTTGATTTCTTGAGGAGAGTATCACAATATCTGTAACAGCAATATAATAATTATTTCTTATTGAAGATTCAGTTACTGTAACACCTAAATATTCACAAGAGTATATACTGTACCTGAGTAACCTGTGAAAAAATGAATCTGCATATAACTTATCAATGTAACTCCTGAGGCAAAATGGGTGAGGTTCCAGGGAGGCCAGTTTGCAGAAATAATCATTATTATAACTCAAATACTGTACGCACTTAAATATTAGTTAGATATTGATAATATTAATCCAATACAGCATACAGGCATCCCCCGCATTATGGAACCCCGGGTTGCGGAATTTCGCTCTTACGGAATTTGTAAGTTATGACCAATAATTTCGCGATACGGCTCGTAAATTTGCCCTTACGGAAATTGGGGTAAATTTTAACAATTTAAAAAAAAAAATCACAATATAAAATTAAAAATTTTTGTTAAAAATATTAATTTCTTAGGTGTGGATTTCTTGGTGTTTGCTACCGCCAAGAGTGGCATCGCCACGAGGAGTCACTCCATTGTTTACATCCAGTGTGCGCGCATGTTTCGCACCCCAGCAGTTGGATTTAACTTTTACAAACATACAGCAAGTACAGTACTGTACAGTACAGTACGGTGCATTACCCTTATTCAAGATGACTGGAAAGAGGTCATCAAGTGGAAGTGACCGCAGTAGTGCAAAAAGAAGCCGCAAAGGCATTACATTGGATATTAAACTTGACGTTTTTAAGAAGGTATATCATAAATTATTTAATGTACTGTATTGTATGTGTTTATAAATGTTTACCGTATTACCCCGCCTAACGCGGTTTCACTTAACGCGTTTTTTCATATACGCGGTGCCTCGCCAGAGCTGAACTTTCACTTAACACGGATTTTTTCCACATATACGCGGTGAGCGTCCGGCTCCAGACGCTATTTTTAGATTTGCCCCACCCGCCACCCTGCCTGACTGCCTGTTTCAGCTCATAAAATTCATACAAATTACCCGGCCAGAATATAATTTACATTGCTGGAATTCTTATAATTTGGTGATCATTTTGAATATAAACATCATATATTTTGCATTAGACATACAAATTTTAGATAAAATTTTTTCTCTGAGTAAATATGTTATCTTTTGTGCAAAATATATGACATTTATATTCAAAATATTCCTGGTCTTACAAGGTATCCAGCAATGTCAATTATATCATCCTAACTTTAGTTTGAGGTATTATTTATTACAAAAAAGGTAAATATTCTGGTTTTCCCACACATCTCCTTGGGACGGTTGGTGGAGGGTGGGGGGGAGGGAGGGACCGACCGACCATCTGTTACCCTGTGAAGAATATTTTTTTTTTTTATTAACTGAAGATATTTGTTTTAGCTCATAAAATTCATACAAATTACCCGGTCAGAATATAATTTACATTGCTGGAATTCTTATAATTTGATGATCATTTTGAATATAAACATCATATATTTTGCATTAGACATACAAATTTTAGATAAAATGTTTTCTGAGTAAATATGTTATCTTTTGTGCAAAATATATGACATTTATATTCAAAATATTCCTGGTCTTACAAGGAATCCAGCAATGTCAATTATATTATCCTAACTTTAATCTGAGGTATTATTTAATACAAAATGTTAAAATTTATTTTTTTCACCCAACATCTCTTGAAGGGAGGATTGGTGGGGGGTGGGGGGGAGGGTTGGGACTGACCGCGCGGTTGGAAGAGGGGGGAGGCAAGGTGGGGTACTTTGATTGACAGATAGTGTCGTGAAGAATATTTTTTTTTTTATTAACTGAAGATATTTGTTTTAGCTCATAAAATTCATACAAATTACCCGGCCAGAATATAATTTACATTGCTGGAATTCTTATAATTTGGTGATCATTTTGAATATAAACATCATATATTTTGCATTAGACATACAAATTTTAGATAAAATGTTTTCTCTGAGTAACTATGTTATCTTTTGTGCAAAATATATGACATTTATATTCAAAATATTCCTGGTCTTACAAGGAATCCAGCAATGTCAATTGTATTATCCTAACTTTAGTTTGAGGTATTATTTATTAAAATTTAGTGGTTTTCCCCCAAAAATTTCTCAGAGAGGGAAGAGCCGGCAGTGTAGTGTGAGAAGAGGGGGAGGGAGTTGAGTCCATTATTTGAATGGACATTAACTTGGCGACTGTATTTCTCTATTTCTCTTAACTATTAATTGTGTGCATGTACCATCATAAAATTAAGATATTATTTTTACTACAACATAGTTATGTGTCTTCAAAAAGTGGAGTTTGGGGGTCGGGCCGGTTTCTATTGGAATTAATCCCATATGTTCTGTTGTTCACTTAACGCGGATTTCACTTAACGCGGGACCCTCTGGGTTCTATTGACCGCGTTAAGTGGGGTACAACTGTATTTTCATTCATAAAAGTGCTTGAATTACTTTTTAGTGGCCGAAAAAAAATCCTTAGGAACGCATATCCAGTTTTATAATGGAAGTCAATGGGAAAATAGGTTTAGCGTTACGAAATTTCGCGATACGGTCAATTTTCCAGGGACTCAACCCTTCCGTAACGCGGGGGATGCCTGTAGTCTCACAATTGACGAGTTGAAGGTTCTGGGTAAACAAGAAATACACTCTGCCACGTCCGTAGAGTGATACGGTATATATAATTTGAAATAAAAGTTTCAAGTCCTGCTATTATAGTAGTGATAAGTTTATTTCTCTAGAAACAGGGCCGCCATTTGCAATGACGTAACCACTTATCCTGCAGACGACGTACGGATGGAGATACGAGTCAATTGAGAAGTAATGACATTGTCTGGACTTTGTTTTGAGAATTCCTGATGCCAGGTAAACATGACAACATAGTGCTGTTATTGTTTTGATGATTCACTAATGAACCACTGGGATATATCATCAAGACAGGGAGACATTCGTTCTAAAGACAGTAATTTCCTTTACCTGTATAGAGTATATGTGTGTGTGTGTGTGTGTGTGTGTGTGTGTGTGTGTGTGTATGTGTGTGTGTGTGTGTATGTGTGTGTGTGTGTGTATGTGTGCATGCACACACACACACACACACACACATACAAATAAATAATAACAGGAAAACTCTTTCACAAATAATCAGAAACACATGTATATTAATAATGTTCAGTCTACCCTCAAGTCTGCTCCGTGCTTTATTAATAACAAAGCACGGAGTGGACTTGAGGGTATACTCAACATTTTTAATACACATTTGTTTCTGATTATTTGTGAAAGAGTTTTCCTGTTATTATTTATTTGTATGTGTTTTGTTTGTGTGTGTGTGTGTGTGTGTGTGTGTCTACACACACATATATACAATACAGGTAAAAGAAATAATTGTCCTAAGGGCAAACACATTAAGTGAATATACATTTCTTTGTACACTATTCAAAATTTAACCCCCACCGGTCAGCAAATGTTATTCGGGGCCATTTTGAAAACCTAACCCCCGCGAATTTGAAGGGTATACTGTACTTCATGGAATCCAATGACCGAGAAGCAAATGACTGAGAGGAGATACTTAAAACTTTTTTAATCATCTGGCCTTGTCCAACTGGATAGAGTAGACTGCAATTAATTTAACTGCCCTCTCTGAAGGGAAACAAAAGGGTGTTTAATGGTACTATTCTCACAGAACATTTGTAGACAATCTGTAGATTATAAAAAAATCTAAATAAACTAGAACTATTACACAGTATTAAGGATACATTCAAACACAATTCTGATCAGTACACACCACTTCGGATGTCTGTTAGGTATGATTCATATTCTAAGCATTACAAAATAATTTACCTTGCAAGGAGCTCTGGAGATCGACAGTTAACTTTTGTGGTTCCTCTGTGGTTAACAACACTCTCAAAGGCTTTGTCAAGGGCCCCAACAAACTGTTGGTCATTGTGAAACACATCAGTAATCATGGTACGGTATTTCTTGTGCACTTCAAGTAGGCTCTCCACAAACTGAGCAGGAATCTGTAAAAAAAAAAAAAAAAAGGACATAAATATCATGTTTAATGCCTTTGCCTTTAGCATTATTAGAAAATTAATACTTTTGTGAGTATTCAGTACAGTGGTCCCTCAGTTAACAAACACAATTCGTTCCAGAGGGTCGTTTGTTAACCAAAAATTTCGTTAACCGAAACCATTGTTTCAATGGGATATTGGGTAATTGGTTCCAGCTCACAGAAATGTATATACAAAGTAAAGCCAAAAATACATAAAGTCAGAAACACTCCTAAAATTCCCCTAAACCACCCTTAAATCACTATATATATCGTACATATACACTAGAACTCTTAAATCACGACTGTAATGTGATACAGGTGATTAATTTTATCTCTTGTGCAAAATATATGACGTTTTTATTCAAATTATTCGCTGTCTTGCAACGATTTCAGCAATGCAAATTATATTCTCCTAACTTTAGTCTGAGATATTATATAAGATAAACACTTGAAAGCCTAATGAAAGCACCAAACTTTTGTCTGGGAAGGCAGGGGGAGGGAGGGAGGGTAGGAGGAGGGGGGGCGGGAGTTGAGTTGTACTTTGACAGTTAGGGGGAAGGTCTGGTAAAGTATTTAATTTACTTATTTATGTTGCTCATAAAATTGTATATAAATAACCGGCCAGAACATAATTTACATTGCTGAATTCTTATAAGATAGTGATTAATTTGAATATAAACAAGCTATAATTTACATTAGACATACAAATTTTAGATCTAATTTAAGAATTTTATTAGAGAGAGCAAAAATTTTATCTTTTGTGCAAAATATATGACGTTTATATTCAAAATATTCGCTGTCTTGCAGGGATTCCAGCAATACAAATTATATTCTCCTAACTTTAGGCTGAGATATTATATATGATTAAAACTGTAAGCCTAGTGCTTTTCCCCAAACGTTTCTCAGGAAAGGTGGGATGGAGGGAGGGAGGGAGGCAGGGGTGACAGTGACATGTTTGACAGTTGGCGCCTGTGGTGTGAAGTATTTAATTGCTAATTTATGTCCTTTAGATTGAGTTTTTGTTTTTTGCTTATAAAATGTAATAGAAGTGACCAGGGTGAATTTAATTTACATTGCTGAATTCTTATAAGATAGTGATTAATTTGAATGTAAACATGCTATAGTTTACACGAGACAAAAATTTTAATAATCATTTAGTACATTATTTTGAGTACATGTACAGTACAGCTTTGCCCTTAAGACAGTGTAGCATGCCCAGAGAAACATCAGGCGCAAAATTTTAAACATGATGCACCAGATTGACTCGTGCAAAAGAGGAAAGATTCGCTTCAAATTAAAACATTGTCCTTAATTGTGGGTGTCGCTTTAAATCAATAATCTTAAACTGAATCGCTTTAAATCGACGTTCTACTGTACCGTATTATACAGCAGGGAGTATTAAGGAAAAAACTTTTGTGTGTATTTTCCTCCTGTAGCCATAGTTTTCTTAAAATAATATATACAGTACCAGTAAATGTGAGGAATAAATAAAATTAATACCAATAAATAAGTTTCAACAAAATTACTGTGTTGCCAAATCAGTAAATAAGAAGCCAAATGAAAGTTTAACACAGCCTCCGTTTGCATACATTCTCTGTTTCAACATAGTAACGTAGACCAGCCGGGATGCCGATTCTCTAGCAACACCCCCCCCCCTTCCCCATACTCTGTGACCCTCCTCCCCTCCCCCACTCAGCCGGCTAACTCGTGTGCAAAGAAATGTATATTCCCTTTACGTGTTTGTCCTTAAACAATTATTTTTTTTACCTTTTTTTCACAATATGTATTTAGGATGGTGTGTGCATGTTAATGAGTAAAAATAAATGAAGAAAGTTACGTATATCTACCCAAAAACATGAGTCGAAAAACAGCCATAACACCTCACAGCTTGGCTCAGTAGGCTGGTGGTTACAAAGATGAGCTAACCTAGCTACAATGCCATGATTAATCACTATCAAACATTATTCTATTAAAAAACACTAATAATAACAGTAAATCCAGTGTAATATGGCAGGGAGCGAGGAGAGTTACAACTGCAAAAACGAGCTAACTAGTGGTTACTCACTTGCCCCTGTTGCCAGGCATATGATCGAAATATGTATGGGAGAAATACATATCTTGTAGTCTAATTTGAAAACGGTGACGGTCCCAGTCATAAACAAATTATATAAACCATGCATTTACATATGATAACATAATAAGAAACATTGTAATGTAACATTACTAGAGTGAGTGAAATATTCCCACAAACAACAATTGATAACTCTTGGGAACCCGTGTCCCGCGCGCTGACGCCTTGGTCCCTTAAAATTTAGCTCAAAGTAGACATGTCATCTCAGGACCAATTTTATCCTACTTTTTTTTTTTATTAAATTTTTTATTATTTTTTGGCAAATAATTTTGTCCAGCTTAACCGATATCCACCTTAGCGGGGTCCGCCTTAACAAGGTTTTACTGTATAAAATTTTTTTGTATTTAGGAAGTAACATTAGCTGTGATGGGATGTGTAAGGAAGAAATTAACATAAGAATAAGACAAGCAAAAAAGGCATTTAATAATCTTAAAGACCAAATGAAAGGGGACATTAACTTTAATTTGAGAAGGCAGCTGCTGAAAGGCTCTATATGGAAAGGACTGATGTATGGGTCAGAAGCATGGACACTTTCAGCAGACACCAGAAAGAGGTTGAAGGCCTTTAATATGCGGTGTTATAGGTATATGCTAAGAATAAGCTCCACTGATAGGAAAACAAATGAACTAATAAGATTGGCAAAATCTTCAAGAGAAATACTTGAATGTACAGAAAATAAAAATAACAACTTTGGTCATATAATTAGGGATGAGAGGATAATAACAAAAATATTAATGGTCAAAGTTGAGGGTAGGAGGGCCAGGGGAAGGCAGAGACTGAGATGGATGAATTAAATAAAAATATGGGTCCCCAGAGAGATAAAACCTTGAAGGATTGGTAAAAATAGCCTGAGCATGTTTAGAGTACATATAGGACTGTGGTCGCCAACCCTCAGACATGAGGGTGGTACTCTGATTGATTGATAAAGGCAGAACTTATGATAATATAACATATTCAGCTGAGAAAATCATGAAGCTTTACTGCCATGCTTTCAGACAGCAAGAACAATGACTAAATGGTGGTAAGAACTATGATAGCTCATGGTTAACAGAGGCACATTAGAGAAACTCACACTCAAAGTTGGTGGAAATCTATTGTACTGGACCATGAATTATTTTATTTTCTGAAACATATTCTTCAATATTCTACAACACACCCTCAAAAATTCCTATGCTATATACAGGTATTATGTAGTTGGTATATTGTTTAATGAACTTGTCCCATCTAAGAGTGAAGCAAGCTTAATACAGAAAGGTAGATGAATATGTAATATGTTTAATACAGACTGATACTTACATTATCTCCCTTAAGGTTGGTTATGGCCTGAAGGCCTTGTTGTTTTATATGATCCTTGAGGTGGTGAACGAGTTGTGTCAGTCCACTGGGTACTGGTCGTAATAAAGTGTACATGTTGGAGAGGTCTCTGGTACGTTCAGAATTTACCATAGATCCAGTCTCGGCATGAACGGTGGACAGGTGGTCAGCTACCATCCGATCCTGGACCTCTTTCACTACCTTCTGATGTGAACTGAAACAAAAAAAATCTTCAAGTTACTTAAAATTATAAACAGGGAGTAAGAAGACCAAATATCATCAGCACTCTGATATACATCAAGATGTTGTTTTTGTCAAACATGGTCAGACTGGCATATGCCAAATAATGGGTTATAATGCACTATTTGACTGTACTGGGGAGGGTACTGCTTAATTTCATCAGGATAGGGGCAGACTCTTGAGTGTTCAATATTTTCACTTCCAAACCCCCATTAATGTGAGGTTCTGAACTGTATATACAGTACAGTATTATAATTAATATACCAAAGGAAATGTGGAGAACTACTCCTCAAATTCTACTCTCTAGCTAAGACCTTAGAGAGTGGCTCTTACTAATGAACAAGACATCTTGGGGAATCTAGGACAGAAGACTGCATCCCTGGTTCGCTGGCAAAAAAGTTGTAATCTTATGATCTATTCCTTAAAACTATGTGCAAAAGCTACGCAAGTGCTGTTTTAGAGGAGTATCTACTTAATAAGTACTGTACAAACATTGTTCAGTGATAAGTCAGGAATAAAACTCCATCTCCTAGTTGTGTTTCCTTCACTACCACACAACCAAGTACTGTACACAAAATGTACCAGGCTTTAACTTGCTTTTTTGGATTTAGATTACAGTTGACCATCCCCAAACTCAAGGGAGGAGGGTGTCTGAGCCACATGACTAGGGGTTTAGCTATAAAACAGCAATTAGATGATTGTGTAATACAGACTGATAATTTTTTCTCAAGCTATCTCTATAAATCAACTTTGGTACAAGTCATGAAGGTCTCACCTTGGAGGGAGGAACTTTGTTGCTCGCAACTCCTCATCAGTTAGTCTGGCAATGACACGCTCCATGTACTGAGATACATTACATACTTGAAGTTGGGAGGATGCCTCTTTACGATAAAATGAACCACTCTCGCTTAGTAATTCCCCTTCAAAAATTGTTTCATATAGCTGAAAGAGACAGGGATGAAAAATTAAAATATCAACTAAGGTCATGCTGCCATACTTATGCTAATGGACACCCTATTGTGTTAGCCAATATATAAACTGAATTTCCAAAGGCAATTGAAAAATATTCACTCTATATTCCTAGCAGAATTTAACTTTGATCAAGAATTCGTAACTTTATGATATTAAACTAAATAAATTCTATAGGCAGTGGTTTCTGGGTTGCGATTATGTTTTCAGGGGTAGCAGTGATGTCAACAACAATGTTAATAGCTGTAGATACAGCTTCAAGAAAAGCTAATGGTACCATTGGGGTGGGTGATAGGGAATAGTTGGGAGCATTACAGAAAAGGTGATGGGTTGTAATAGTTAATGTTAAGGGTGGTGTAAGTGGATATGATTGTAGAGATGGAAAAGATTGTGGTAATGACAAGGGTGGCTGAAAATAGGTTAATTTTTAAGTTTAGACATGTTGATTCAGGAGTTGGTGTTGTAGTGTACTGCATATGAAATGATCACAGTGGGGGGGTTGATGTTGTTGGGGTAGATCAGGGGTCACCAAACTACGGCCCGCGGGCCGGATCCGGCCCGCGACATCAGTTCATCAGGCCCGCCAGTTTCACAAATCTCACTAACCTTTTTTGCTGCTTAGTTTGTGAGATTCGGATAAGTACACACTAGGTCTGATGTAACTATCTTTTTGCTAACGTCACCTTCTTTGATAAATTTTTAGAAAATAAATATGTTGGTTGTCTTTGTTTTTGGTACATTGCACGCCACTCACCCATGATTAACATGGAATGCTAAACTTAGTTTTTCGTCTTTTTTCCCAGAGCTTTCGTTCTGGCTTGCAAGTATTGAACAGAATGATTATGCGGCCCGCGCTCGTCATTCTTTCAGTTATCCGGCCCACTGTGAAAAAAGTTTGGTGACCCCTGGGGTAGATGATAAGAAGGAAAGTGATACTGGTGGAGGATTATAAAGACACAGTGGTGAATTTGGAGGAGAAACAAATTTTAGTATCATATTGGCTAACTCATTGTATTCGACACTGGAAAAATAAATATATGAACAAAATGACCAAGCAAACAGAAACTAGTTGAAGACAAATCTGAAATTCAAAAAAATACAGTTTTAAACTACTGTACTATACCTGTAAAGTAGACTTCTTTTTATACATATTAACATCGACGAAGGAGTGAATAACACCACGAATGGTGGATGTGGGGGCATCTGTGGTCGCTCCCATACGGTCCTGCTGAATCCCCGAGAGTAATACCCCAACCAGACGTGACTGTAGTGGTGTGATCATATCTTTCTGCCATATCTCTAACCCAAGTTCACCTGCATAAAAATGTACAGTGATGCATTGAGAGTGTAATGAGCTATTAAGAGGGATATATATTTACTTTATAGTAAGATTTAGTGCACTTATCCCTCTTACATGTTGTAACTAATGTAGATTTGCCAGAGAAATAGATGTATTGGGGGTGGGGTTGGTTTTGTGACACCCCTCAATAATTCTTCTTGTGGGTACAACCATACAAGAAATGAATAAACAACTAAAAATTGACAAAAAAATAAGAGTAAAATTGGCCAGAATACAAAAAATAATGCAAATTGTACCCAAATGGATGGAAATTATGTATATCCCTTAAAAACAAGCGTAACCACAGAGCAAACTGAATTATATCTTATAAATAAAGCTAAATTTTGTGGATACACTTAAGTTCTTGTGGTAACATACATATGTTTACACCCCCAATCAATACTTCCTAGCGGTGTCACTGGGATGACTAATTACAGGAATATGAGAGCAGAATTCAAATAGAATACAACAATAAATAAAAGATTCATAAGCTGGGAACACACAAAAAATTTAAACATGGAATTTTCACTTGAATGTAACCAAGTGAAATTTGAGCAATGGCAGAAAGCCAGAACTGAAACCTGCTATTTACTTCAAACGTAGTTGTGAGTAAAGAAAGAATGAAGAATAATGCAAAATATATATATGCTTGTAGGATTTATTATTCTTTAAAATGTGATATTGATAATGTAGAAACGGAAAATTGCAATGAAAGTGTGGCAATTATGTTAACTAGCTGCTGACTCTACTGTGAATCAAGCAATCAGCATCTGTCCAGCCACACTGCATCATACTGGAAAAAGTCTAAGTCTTAAAGGAAGACTTACCTATTTCTAGAAGCTGTTCAGAGACATCCATCTGCATCGTGCCATATGTAAGATCCGCATCACTAAACTTCTGCTTCTGAATGTGTTGTGAATTTAAATATCTGTAAAATATAATGGCAAATTATAATCCACATATGTTAGCTAGCTCATCTATATAGTATTCTAAAATTCATTACACAATGACAAAATAAATACATAAATAAAATACAAGATGAAAATACACATATTTGTACTTGCAAGAGGAATATTACCAATATACAGTACAGGGTATAAACATAAAAAAATTTTTTGAGGGTATGATCAAACACAACTGATCGAAGTACAGTAGAAGTACTGTAAAAACTGTCATCTTCCAATTATCATTTTCATAAGATTCATCATATAATCCCCAAAGGACTTTCAATTTCACCTCAAAAATTTCTTGAAGAATGTATTACAGTAGAAACTTGATAAATCGGACTAATTGGGGCAGACCCGTCCACAAAATGCGAAAGCAAAAAAAAATGTATACAGTACAGAATACGGGGCCGGGGGATAACACTGCTTATCTGAACTGTTTAAAGAAAATCAGTTGTTGCTATGGTATTATTGCACTTCAACAACTCAGGTCTCAAGTGTATAACAAGGTTATTAAAAGAATATAACATCAACAATAAAAAATATGAAACAAAACTCTGTGGGTTGAAAATCAGACATATAAGTCTGGTTGTCAACAACTGTTGTAACTGAGATGATTGTTATTTACTGTAAAGTGTTATATGTAAGTAACAACAGAATTTGTCTTATGAATAAAGAGAAAACTGTATACTGCACAGTACAGTCGGCCCTTAACATACGCTGGGGTTAGGTCACAGAGATACCCGTGAATGTTAAAAATCCGTGTACTTTTGCTGACCCCTCCTAAAAAACCCTGGCCCCCCCCATGTCCTTATTTACCGTATATACCTGTGTGTAGTTCAAGTTTTTAAGACCAAATTACTTGGCAAAAAATTAGGGGTCGACCTCTAAACGGGTAATAGTTTCGTTAGGTTGAAAAATATTTACCAGTAACTACCAGTAAACAATGGAAACGACGCACCAACGCACCACCAGCTGTGAGTGTCGGTACAGTTGCCAGGGCAGATCTCTTGCGTCATCATAGCAAGCCCAAAGTAGCCAAATGCATGGTATGGTATGCACAGGAGTATGTAAAACATAAAGTATTCATTTTTTAAAGTTTATTTATAGATACTGTACATAAACTTTTGTTCATTACATTTGAAACATCAACCTTTGTTAATTAAATTTGAAACAAAAGAAAACTACGATACCGTATTTCTAAATACCGGGTATTTTCATTAAAATATTACATCACAAGTATATTTTACCTTAACTGTGACTGAATGAATATATTCTCAGAAATAAATACCGAAATGTAATATTTTTGCTGAAATGACGTACGTATTACAGTGGAAAGTGGGATACAATCATGACGAAAACAATGACTTTCGCTTTCTTTCGTTGTTCAAAAGATTTTACCGTGATCGCTTTTCGAATGGTTTTCAGTTAAAAAACTGTTGTATTACAATAATATTCCAACCTAATTCACTTAAATAAATACTACGATACCATATTTCTGAATATTCTCATGAAAATCCATCAAAATAATTTTCCTTGTCATCGTCTTCAGCACACAGTTGCCAGTTTCAAGATTTTCCGTTTAAAATTTTAAGTTACCGACTACTGTATTTCTTTACCCAAATCGTTTTACAATACAGTAGGTAAAACAGTTTACTATTGTGCAAACCCCACATAAAAAAATTAACAAATGGAGACTCCAAAAAAAAAGAAAAAAAAAAAAAAAATGCTGTCTGAATTGCAACACTGTTGGTAGGGTCAGGTGGTTCTAACGGCATTCTGCCAGTACCCGGGAATCAAATTTATAACAGTGTCTAACCTCAATTACTGTAGTTTATCTGATGTAGGCAATATGAAGTAAAAATACCAGTTAAAGTGAGAAATTGGAAGAGAATAAACAAGAACGATGTCGTTGGGCTATTTTTGGAAGGGCTGAGAGAGAGAGTACCAGCTGTTTGGTCTTTTTTGCCGGGAGAGTCACGCAAATATCCATACTGGTATTTGTTTGGTGTCTTCTGTATTTATAAAAATGAATACTTGTAAATTAAAAGTACCGTAACATTGTATTATATACAAACTTGTCATATTTCTGGAAAATAAGAAGCAAGAAAATAAGAATATACCGGTAAACACAATTTCAACACACGATAAAATTAAAGGCTGCTTAAGATGGGCCGGGGCAAAAACAAATCCTCCGCGACCAGGGCTCTGCCGTATCAGCTAGACGGGACACGTGTTTTTCGAATCGTTTTCAGTTAAAAAACTGTTGCATTACAAGTGAATTAGGATAGAATATTATTGTAATACAACAGTTTTTTAACTGAAAACCATTCGAAAAGCGATTATGGTAACATCTTTTGAATGAAAGAAAGCAAAAGTCATTGCTTTCGTCACAATTTTATCCCACTTTCCACTGTAATACGTACGTCATTTCAGCAAAAATATTACATTTCCATATTCTCAAAAATAAATAGTAGTTTTGCTGAAATGTAATGTATTTCAATGTAAATTAGGATAAACTACATGAAAACAAAAGACTTTACCTAACCTTCCGATGTTCAAGATATGTTACTCGTTTTTTAATAGTTTTCGGTTAAAATACTGTTATATTAGTGATATTCTATTCATACTGTTCTTGATATAATACATTCACGGAAATGTAATATTTTTGTTGAAATGACGTACGTATTACAGAGGAAAGTGGGATAAAATTGTGACGAAAGCAATGACTTTCGCTTTCTTTCGTTCAAAAGATGTTACCGTAATCGCTTTTTGAATGGTTTTCAGTTAAAAACTCTTGTACAGTCGGCCCTTAACATACGCGGGTTTAGCATACACGGATTTGCAAATACGCAGATTGCCCCGCCGGAGGAATATTCTGTACACTGAAGTAATTGAAGTACATTCAAATCGCGCGCGGCACCGAACACGGGACACCGCCCGCTCCCGCAACCTCACACACACACGTATAGCTCTCCCTCACTCACTCAGTCTCGCTGTAACCACGCTTGTGTTGACATCAGCATTGTAGTTGCAAAAATATTACATTTCCATGAATGTAGTATATCAAGCACAGTATGAATAGAATATCACTAATATAACAGTATTTTAACCGAAAACTATTAAAAAAACGAGTAACATATCTTGAACATCGGAAGGTTAGGTAAAGTCTTTTGTTTTCATGTAGTTTATCCTAATTTACATTGAAATGCATTACGTTTCAGCAAAACTACTATTAATTTCTGAGAATATGGAAATGTAATAGTTTGCTGAAATGACGTACATATTACAGTGGAAAGTGACGAAAGCAATGACTTTCGCTTTCTTTCGTTCAAAAGATGTTACCGTAATCGCTTTTCGAATTGTTTTCAGTTAAAAAACTGTTGTATTACAATAATATTCTATCCTATTTCACTTGTAATGCAACAGTTTTTTAACTGAAAACCATTCAAAAAGCGATTACGGTAACATCTTTTGAACGAAAGAAAGCGAAAGTCATTGCTTTCGTCACGATTTTATCCCACTTTCCACTGTAATACGTACGTCATTTCAGCAAAAATGTTACATTTCCGTGAATGTAGTATATCAAGCACAGTATGAATAGAATATCATTGTAATATAACAGTATTTTAACCGAAAACTATTAAAAAAACGAGTAACATCTCTTGAACATCGGAAGGTTAGGTAAAGTCTTTTGTTTTCGTCATGCATTTTATCCTATTTTACATTGAAATACATCACCATCACGTTTCAGCAAAACTACTATTTATTTCTGAGAATATATTCATTCATGCACAGTTTAGGTAAAATATACATGTGCTGTAACATTTTTTAATTGAAAACGATTCGAAAAACACGTACCCTCTAGCCCTGTTCAAGGAGAAGACTGGGAGGAGCTGTTTGGTGCTTAAGACGATGACAAGGAAAATAATTTTGATGGATTTTAATGAAAATATTCAGAAAGACCATGGCACTGTCAAGGAAAGTGGCTGCTGAAGGCTTCCAGGACATGGCAGAGGACGAGATTAGGGAGCTAATTGAAGAGCACGACAATGAGCTGACCGAGGAGGATCTACAGGAGTTAGTAGACTCAGGCAAGGAAGAGGAAGCGAAAGGGAAAGAGGATGAGGAAGAGCACCAAGAAATAACGTTGGAGAAGTTGGGGGAGATGACCAGGAATATTGAGGCACTGAAAAACCTGGCCTATAGTATGGACCCCTCCATGGTGCGTGCCCTGAAATTCATGCGAGGGATGGATGACGTTTTTGCTCCATACAAAAACACCATGGAAGAAATGAAAAGAAAGAGACGACAACTCCCCATCACCATGTTCTTTGATCACCGAAGGAGAGGTTTAACACCATCAATCACTGGCGGCAGTGAGGAAGCAGCTGAATCCACCGTCGCCCCCACTTCACCACCCATTATGGAATTGAGTGACGATGAGCCCGATGACCCTCGTCCTGTCGCCGAGGATTGGTACTGTACAGTAAAGTGAAATTTTTATCTCTTTATTTTAAAAGCTTTTCTTGCCATGTTTATTGTTTGTAAAAATGCACAGCACAGTACAGTTCAGTACTGTACATAGGAAGTGGAGGTGCAGTTATTCACAAAACATTTGTGTTTGTTGTCGGCAGTAGTGACGGTGAGGAGGAGGAGGAGGCAGAGGAGGGAGCGGAGGGAGCGAGTTGGGAGGAGTGGTGACCTTGGACGCGGGAGCAGGCACGATTGGAGATGCCAGCCAGTTCATTACGGGTGTATTAATTGTTTTTATAGCTATTTTTGCATTTAAATATTAAATACTGTACATTACGTTTTAACAAAACTACCATTTATTTCTGAGAACATGGAAATGTAATATTTTTGCTGAAATGATGTACGTATTACAGTGGAAAGTGGGATAAAATTGTGACGAAAGCAATGACTTTCTCTTTCTTTCGTTCAAAAGATGTTACCGTAATCGCTTTTCGAATGGTTTTCAGTTGTGGGATTATAAGGCTAATGATAGGATAGAATATTATTGTAATACAGTACAAGTACAACAGTTTTTAACTGAAAACCATTCGAAAAGCGATTACGGTAAAATCTTTTGAATGACGAAAGAAAGCGAGTCATTGTTTTCGTCATGATTTTATCCCACTTTCCACTGTAATATGTACGTCATTTCAGCAAAAATATTATATTTCCATATTCATTTCTGAGAATACGTATATTCATTCAGTCACAGTTAAGGTAAAATATACTTGTGATGTAATATTTTAATGAAAATACGGTATCGTAGTTTTCTTTTGTTTCAAATTTAATTAACAAAGATTGATGTTTCAAATGTAATGAACAAAAATTTATGTACAGTATCTATAAATAAACTTTAAAAAATGAATACTTTATGTTTTACATCATCCTGTGCATACCATACCATGGATTTGGCTACTTTGGGCTTGCTATGATGACGCAAGAGATCTGCCCTGGCAACTGTACCGACACTCACAGCTGGTGGTGCGTTGGTGCATCGTTTCCATTGTTTACTGGTAGTTACTGGTAAATATTTTTCAACCTAACGAAACTATTACCCGTTTAGAGGTCGACCCCCAATTTTTTGCCAAATAATTTGGTCTTAAAAACTCGAACTACACACAGGTATATACGGTAAATAAGGACATGGGGGGGCCAGGGTTTTATAAGGGGGGGGGTAGCAAATATACGCGGATTTTTAACATCCACGGGTATCCCTGTTACGTAACCCCCGCGTATGTTAAGGGCCGACTGTATTACAATAATATTCCCTACTAATTGACTTGAATAAATACTTGAATGGAAATATACAATATTTTTGTTGAAACTACCCGCGTTTCGGTGTAAAGTGTCGTAATAATAAATAGTAAACAATTTACCTTCGGCACTCGGTGTTTCAGGCACGGTAAGCCTCAGTTTATAGGACGTAGAGTGTTTTTACTGAAGGTTTTGTTGTTCCAATACCCTCAAAAACTTGGGTCGACCTATAAACAAGGAATGTCATAAATTAACGATTTTTTGGTCAAAAAATCAGGGTCGACCTACAATGCTGATGTCAACACAAGCGTGGTTACAGCGAGTCTGACTGAGTGAGGGAGCGTGGGGTGGCGTGACGCGCGTGTGTGTGTGTGACGCGCGATTTGAATGTACCGGTACTTCAATTACTTCAATGTACATAATATTCCTCCGGCGGAGCAATCCAAGTATTTGCGAATCCGTGTATGCTAAACCCGCGTATGTGAAGGGCCGTATATTGTATGCGTAGGAGTATATTGTATGTGGAAGACGAATGTTTATCTGGGAGCAGCTGGCAGAGGGGAGGGAGGGGGGGTAGCATGGGTGGGTGCTCTCTCCCCCAAGATTCCTTAAACACTTCATTATGCAGTCTCACCATAATTCTCATATAATTTAGGATCGTTTGGTGTCAGATTGATAAAATATTATCCTAAAAGAATCAACTTTCCTGAAAAACGAATCGCACACTGAACACCATGAGTCATTTGTTTACAAAGAGCAAACAACTGATTGGCTTACCACAATGTCTGTCTTCAACACTTAGTAAATTAATACTATACAGTTGTGTATTTATCACTTAATAAATACTATTGCAGTGTATTTATGACCACTTAATAAATACTATTTTAGTGTATTTACCACCACCTAATAAGTAATATTGTAAAGAATTATGCATTTGCATATACCCTGGTTTATTCATTAATCATTTGTCTAAGTGTATAAGTAGCCAAATTGAGCCATCATATAACACTCAAAGGTAGTAAATGTTTTTAGTAAGGTATCTTCATATCAAATACTATACAGTGTGTTGTAGTGACCCCTGTTGTAAGCTAGTCTGCAGAAAGCTCTCACACGAACACATCTTCAGTAAATAACCTTCTGATACAGCTTATCCTTTTATTTTCAAATCATATTACAAATTACATACAGTAGTGTATTTTTTCTCTATTGCTGAAGATGTTATATCAACCATGATGAACCATAAGATATAAGAGGCCAATCATATGAGAATATAATACTGAATCAATAAATAAATAAACCTGACAAATGTGGCAACACCTAGTCAGCCCCAGCCTGCTAACATACTCAAGTGTCTTAGTTCTCAGTAGGCCTATAGCAAATCTGACTAGACCACTGTACAGTATTAATTAAGTGCTGTTTATTTAAGATTTTTTTTATTAAATCCTCCCCCCCCCCTTTTTTTTTAGTATTTCTGGTGACCAGAGCATCTCAGAAGAGTCCGAAAAAAGTGAATTCCGATACCCTGTACAGTACATTGAAGTCCAATTTATCAAGGTTTTACTGTACATGTTTACTAATAGTCAAAATATTCCACCATGTTTCAGGGCAGAGCACAAGCAATGAGAAATAGCATTTATCATACTAAATATCCAAAGGTGGGCAGTTGCGCCACAAAAAGTTGTGGCGCAACTTGTGCCGCAACTTTTTTGGTTGCACATGCAGATGCGCCGCACATTTTTCCAGAGAGTTGCGGAACTGGTTTCGGCACAACTTTTACAAGCATTTTCAAACGCAAAATGCAATTTTTTTTGGCAATAATTGAAAATTGGAATACAACCGCAAAAACAAACGGACATCCCTAGAGCCGCGCATTACGAAAATTTCTGTTTCTGACGGAATGATTCAGCATACATCATGATACGGGTCGGGTAGCATATTTCTGAACTGTAAACCAGATGAGACCCCCCCCCTCCGTCGCTCCCCTTTCATCTTTCACATAAACTCTAGTTTCTAGAGTTTATGTGAAAGATGAAATCTGGCAACTACAGCGAAGGAAGGGGAGGGAGGAATGATTCATATTATAACAAGTCAGGCAGTCAGTGGCACTGCAGTTAAGGCGTCAGTTTCTTGTTGTTTTGTTTCTTGTTATTACTGGTATTATGGATTGTTTTGTGAAGAAGAGGAGTCTGTGGTCGGCAGCAGTGATCCTGCCGACCAGGACATGGACACGGAAGTTGAAGTGACTGAGACTGTTGACAGCCAGTCCACTGAGACTGAGGCCAGTGGCAGTGAGGCATTTTTTGTAATTTTGTAATAAAATATTTATATTAACTTTTTTGTATCAATTATATTTTGTTTTACCTGTAAATAGGCATATTTTTTTTATTTTAGTATTTGTTTATTTTAATTTTTTTAAAGTTGCGGTTGAGCTAGCGGCGAAACTTTTCGAAAATGGTTGCAGTTGTGGCGCAACTATTTCAGCAGAGTTACGGTTGCGGAACAAAAAAAAAAGTTGCACGTGCCCACCTCTGTAAATAACAATGAAAAAGTTAGAACACTTAAAGACATGCATCATACCTGAGAGGTGTAGAATGCTGGTACTGTACTGTGCAGTATACAGTAGTTTCAAAACAATCCATTATGCTAAAATAACTCAGAATTAAAAAATGAAAAAGTTACATCCAAATTCCTAACCAAAATAAATCTGCAAGTGAAAGACAAGGGACTTACGAATAGAGGTTGTTGAGGTACTGTGTGCCTTCACTAAACTCCAGCCAGAAGCGGTGGTACTCTGCCAACAAGTTCTCTTCCCGCTGCTTGCTTACCTATACAGTATATAAGTATTATCACTTACACCACTGTACAGTATACAAGTGTTATTGCATCTTACTGTATAGTTTATTTTACTCATTTTTGAGAGCCATATCCCACTTAGCTGAGGGGGTTGCCAAATTCAAGAGCAAAAACACATTATATTATATTACAGTACAGTACAAATATTCTATGATGACACAGAAATTCTTAAGATTGTAAGAAAATGCCCTTCCAATAAAGCAGAGATGAACCATGCATATCATTATTTACTATCAACTATAATAACACAAATGTTCAACGGAAATAAATTCAAAATTTAAATTGTATCATATTACTCTTCCTTGAGAATGTAAAACATCTGGTCTCGAGGATTGGAAGAGGTGCTTTCAATAAAATTATCACAAACAGGTGCACAATAAGACAGTTACGTATATGCCTACACCGGGAGAGTGAAAAAAAAAGGGAGTTGAAGAACAGCTCTTTATTATAAAAATCAGAAGTTAAATGAAGTTAATGTATTTTATCATAATACTGTACAGTACCTCTAGAATACTTGAGTAATCAATTTAACACCTGTCAAATTAGTAATGGTCAGTGAAAAATATGATGGTATCTGTACTACATATACCTTATCTTATATTCAAGAAAGACTATATAATAATCAATGACAACAAACAAACGACGTGCATTCATTATACAGTATATACCTTAGAGTAAAGTTCTCGAACATGATTTTCAAGTAACTTCTTTGTCTCTGCATACAATTTTTCTGCAAGGGGCTCTGGAAAGGCCACACACAGTGAGTACACATCAGAGAATCTTTCGTTCCAGATGCTGCGTTTGATTGAATCCATTGTGACAACTTGCTGCACAGTCTCCAACAAGCCTCCCCATACTTCATCAAAATTCACCGCACGAGGCTTTAATGACATCCTGTCAGCCTTAAAAAAGAAAAGAAAAGTAGAATATGAATATTAGTACTGTACTGGAAAAGATTTTTTTTAAAACAACTGTTTGATAACTAAAGTACAAAACACTTATAATCCTAATATGCTTATACTGTACAGTACAGTATACCCATGTACACAGTATAGGTTCCCCTCATGTATGCTGATATTGTTCTGTATATAAGCAAAACCAGTACAAATGAAGAAGGGTTCCAAAGTAGATTACAAGGTGTGGGAAGGGAGGGGTGCATTCCCAGCCATTGCCAAAGTTCTCTTCTCAATTTTCAGGTATGTTTACTCTTGATCATCAGCCCAGAAAATCAAGTATCATAATCAAACCAATGAATTATTCACCAATTGCAAAATAGAAATAGCTTTATAATGCCTGGCGTGGCTCCTGGTTAGTGATGATGATGATGCCACAGTGATCAGTCCCAGGGGCAAATATTGTAGACATTTTTTAAAGCACAAATAGTTTGAACACCATTATGTTAATAAGCCAATTCATATTAAGAGTACTACAGTGTTACAATGTTTATAAAATATGAGGCAAACAAGTGAAAATGGAAAAACTAAATTGAAGTAAGTGTCATTTGCATTTATGTTTCCAGTGAAGTACTTGTAAATGGAACAATTGGTGATACCATAATCTAAGCTACTATAGGTATTTATTGCTTCTAAGCCAACACACATCTATTATAAGTAACATCTGGTTATTCTTTAATGCTGTAGCTAAAAAGAAACAACTGTAGTAGTAATTTGTGTAAGCATTAAAGATTATGGATTACTAGCACGTATACAGTATTTGTATGTGCATTAAGGCACGCAAAATGGGACAGGACAATCATGAGCATATGTAACAAACAATCAATCAAACAAACAATCAATCAATCAATCAATCAGAGTACCATCCTCGCATCTAAGGGTTGGCGTCCAGTCCTGCACTCTAAATGTTCTTCAGCTATTTCTACCAATCCTTCAAGGTTTTATCTCTCTGGGGATCCATTTTTTTTATTTCATTCATCCATCTCAGTCTCTGCCTTCCCCTGGCCCTTCTACCCTCAACTTTGCCCATTAATATTTTTTTTATTATCCTCTCATCCCTAATTATATGGCCAAAATAGTTACAGTATTTTTATTTTTCTGTACATTCAAGTATTTCTATTGAAATTTTTGCTAATCTTATTAGTGCATTTGTTTTCCTGTCAGTGAGGCCTATTCTTAGCATATACCTATAATACCACATTTCAAAGGCCTCCAACCTCTTTCTGGTGTCTGCTGACAGTGTCCATGCTTCTGACCCATACATCAGTCCTTTCCATATAGAGCCTTTCAGCAGCCGTTTTCTCAAATTGAAGTTAATGTCCCCTTTCATTTGGTCTTTAAGATTATTAAATGTTTTTTTTGCTTGTCATATTCTTGTTTTGATTTCTTCCTTACACACCCCATCACCCTATACAGTATAGTCTGCATTTATGCGGTCAGTTGAACCCGTGGAGGTCAGCGTAAAACGAGAAACGCGTAAACGAAATAACATAACATATGGGATTAATTGAAATAGAGACTGGGCCGACTCCCAAACTCCACTTTTTCCGACACAATATGTACCCTGTAGTAAAAATAACATCATAATTTTATGATGGTATTGACACACACATAATATCTAAATAAAAAACTACAAATATAAAGGTGTTTAACACTTACGTTAGTAGAAGAGATGGGTCGGCACACGTGGATAGCGGCTGGTTCCGAGGCAGGGGGCAGATTAGTGGCCCTCCAATGAATCACTATCACTACTCACAGAGGTTTGCAAGGCCTCCCAGACAAACCCCTCAAAGTCCATATCCTCACTGTCACTATCACTGACTTGGGCTGGCTATGGTTGTGGTGGGTTGCGGGCGAGACTAGCATTGATGTTGTCGTGATACATCTGGACATACGGCTCCATAATTTTCGACAGAAGGTTATTAGACACTTCATACCGATGCTTGACTGTGACTTTGTCAAGGATGAGCTTGATTTTCTCCCCCAACTCGATGACTTCCTTCACATAACCATGGCTTGGTCCAGGTAGTTCAAGGTTTCTCGGGGGTGGTGGGCGTCTAGCGGAAGCCATTGTGATGGAATAGCGGGCACAAGAGAGAACAGTATACGCGTAGAACTGAGAACAATGAGACTGGCCCGGCTAGGTCAGCGACTTCTTCCCTCTGGTGGCAGGGCACGTCATGTTACATTAGACCAATCACAGCTAGCGGCGGAGGGAATGCGTGGGTGGTAAGGATGCGTGGCCCGATCACAGTCCGATACGTCATATGACGTCAGCGATAACGTAAGACTGACCTAATGAGCACCCTCCAGGCGCCGCTTCCCGCATAAATGATGGAATGAGCCGCGTAACTTAAAATTTTCATTCTGGCAAGGTGCCGCGTAAATGACCAAACGCATAAACAAAATCCGCGTAAATGCAGACTATACCGTACACAAAATTTTCCACTTGCATACGTTCCCAATTGCCTACCATAAATTTAATTTTAGGATTTAAATTTGGAACAACCATTAATCTATACAGTACAGCATTAACTCTTAAACCATATATTTCACTTTTTTCCACTAATCTGCTAACAAATTTTTTTTAATGCCTCTTCACTATCTGTGATAAGAGTACTATCATCAGCATAGTGTATATTTGATATTACTTCACCATTAACTTTTAATCCTTCATTATTACTCATAACTTCTCATTAAGAATTTTTAATACCCGGTACATATTATACAATGTTGGAGATAGAAAGCAACCTTGTCTTACTCCTTGTCTAACTGCAAACCACTTAGTAAGTTCATTATGTACTAACACTGCAGCCTCCCATTTCCTGTAAAGATTTTTTAAATTCTAATATCTCCATTATATAATGTCAATTTTTTCCCAGGATATCCATAAGTTTATTGTGCTTTACCTTATCAAAAGCATTTTTAAAATCAATAAAGCGTATACCTGTATACAAATTTCTTTGGACCACTAAAGCTCTTCTACTCAAAATTCTCAAGCCAAATTCAGTGTAACTTCTCGAGTTCCTTTTCCCTTTCTAAATACATTTTGCTTTTCAGATAACTCATTTTCTATTCTAAAGTTTATTCTACTTAAAAATTATGTTTAATAAAACTTTGCAGGCATGACTTATTAAGTTTATTGCTCTAAACTAGGTGCACTCTAAGGCTCCTGGCCTTATGAACCACAAGGAAAGTCTCCTTTCAAGTACAGTACAGTGTATATACAGTATAGAATTACTGTACATATTTTAGTCAAACATTTTATCTCATTCTTGCCCATTTGTTTTATAAATTCTGCTGGAAGCTGATCAACCCCACAAGATTTACAATATTTCATTTTCACAGCTGCCTCAACTTGTTTACAAAACTGACATTTCTATCCTTATTTACCTTTCGGTTCTTATCTCTACTTTATTCTTATCATTGTAGTGATATCTCCGTTAGCCGGAACAATTAGTGCAGAGCACTTCCAGGAATGAGCGATTTCTGGGTAACGAGACAACTCTCTCAAAGCCGGAAAAAATCCCTCATCCCAGGAATTTTCCAGATTTTCCCGGTTAACGGAAAAATGTTCTCGGAAGTTCCAGAAATTGCCCATTATATCATCTCTTGAACCCGGAAAAATAGTCCCCCATCCCAGAAATTTTCCAGGTACCCTAATGGAAAATTTTTCTTGGAATTTCCGGAAAATGAGCCCCTCAGAAATTTTCAATTTGCCTATTGGAGAGTTCCAGGTTCGAGGAATTCCGGCTAAGGGAGACACTACACTACACTACTTATAATTCTTCTACGTACACTACCCATCTCTCGTTTACTTCTGCCTCAAACAGGATCTTAATGTCTTTGCCTTTACTAGTCCGACCACATTTATTTCCCTTTCTGGATCATTTGTTTAATCTTTCTCTACATTTCCATAAAATTATTTCTCCAGTCATCATTTTTGTCGATCTATTTTATTTTATTTAAAATTTCATTTTCCATCCACTTACTTTTAGCTGCCTTCCTCCAATGTCCTATAAGCATTTCCCTAGTATCTAATATTACTTCTTTGTAATAATTAAATTGTTGTCCTGAAAATCTATTTTTTTTTCAATTTCATATTCTATCCTTGCCCCTATTTTGAGCTTACCTAAATCACATTTAATTTTGTCCACTGAAGGATAAAATCCATCTTCCAGCCATCATATTTGGTTCTTATCAATTCCTTGCACACATCATGAGTAGAAAATCTACCTAAATATGAATTTAATGTTTTGGTTATAGTTTTGTAAATGTACAGTATACAGGAACAAAAGGATTAACAGTAAAAAAAAAATAATAATAAGCAACTAGCATGTACCTTGCTGAGGATCCAGGCAAGCGCATGAGCAGTATTTTATTTAATATTTTGCTCACGTGTAATACAGTATTCCCTTAAAGCTCGCTGGGGTTAGGTAAAATGGACCCGTGAGAAAGCAAAATCCACGAGCTTTTCATGCCAGTCCCAGGAGTGTGCAAAATACATGCAGAATATAAATAGCTATAGGCACACGTATAACAACATTATGTATGCATAAGGCAATGTAATAAATATTAAATAACATAAATAAATAAACATACACATGAAGTAACAGTGTATGGACATTAGGTCCATACAGTGTTAGTTAGTTGTGGTAATGACATTGCAAGGACAATACCACTGAAACGTCAGCTGATCTGGTGCACAGGATGTAAACAATCCCTGTACTGGGCAGTTCCTGGTGAACATGCCCGGTACTGATAAATATTTGTAATGTGTATACCGTAGGTACCTATATGTATGTATAATTATATCCTTTTGCATTAAATTAGGTACTGTAAATTTTATTAATAATACCAACAAATGATTGATCATTGGTCCATAAAGTGATAGCGAGCTGTGGTAGTGAGAAACATGATACCATATAGCTAGTGACTTGGCTTTGCCA